ATAAGGTAGCCAGGTGGCAGAACTGAAATGCACATTGCATCTGTTTCATTCCCTCTGAAATTAATCCGTAACCGGGAGTAATTCGGTCTATTTGCAATTTGCAGGCTCTGACTGAAATTTTACATAAATTTTTGGGCACTAGTTCATCAGCCATAACGGACTAACAGCATTATTTTCATAATTTGCTAACATACAACCAATAGTACTTTGATGGGTTGTGTGATGCACCGTACACATGCTCCGCCGCAGCCGTGTCATGCAGAGACAGAATATCAGCAAAACGCGTGTCTGGATTTTCAGCTAGTATGTCAGGTATGGTATATCGTACGACCTATGAAATAAAACGCCTCTCCCCTCACTGAAATCCCTGCTTGTTACTTGCTTCCGTTGAGTAGGCATCTGATCCTTTCAACGACAATGTGCGGGCAGCTGGAGTCAGCCCCTCTACGCGGGCTGCGCGCGAGCCGGCTGGCACATGGCCATCTTTTGTTCAGTGTCAACAACCAATCCGAAATGTGAGCGACCAGAGGCGACGAACACTACGCTCTGCCGAATACGCTCCTCGGCTCACCTCCCAGTCATTCACGGGCAAGAGGTCATGGAGTGTAACATTGAACATGTTAGCCAAATGTTGGAGTGGTGTCCGCTAACTCAAGCGTTTGTGCTAAAGTGGGTGCAGTCGAGCAGACAGGCCTGTCGCCGACTTTTGCTCCGTGCTGACAGTCAATCCGAAATGTGAACGACCAAAGTCGACGATGACTACGCCCTGCCAGCGCACAGTATGCTGCGTGGCCATGCTTTGCTGATCATAGCATAGTAGAAGCTCACAGTCTCTAGGGCCAGACGGTGCCATACTTGAATTCGGAACCCAAGAAACGGGCCTCGTTTAAAAAGAACCCCTGTTCTGATCAGAAGGTCGATCAGCTCATAGGGAAAGAAGTGCAGTGTAAACCAGACGTTTGATGAAGTTCTTACTTTTAATAATGGAAAATGTATACCAACAGGAAACAGGGAAGACCGAGGTCGCAGCCATACTTCAGCAAGAAAACGGTACGACCGGAGAGTTCAACCCGGGTCCAGTTGGTCCCTCAGTTGAATGCCTTACCAGTTGACAGGCACCTCACGCTCAAGTAGCATGAGATTGGTGTTCGCTCATCTGGCCACTATGCGGCAGATGGTATGAGTACGTTTTTGCCTTGGGGCTCTTATCTGCGGAAGGACGGTGTTTTGCCGTACAAGCTAGCTAGGCGGCAGAAATGAACTATAACACTACAGTTTTTCATTTCCTCAGCACTTAATCTCTAACTCGGAGTAAGTCAGTCTGCTTGCGCCTTATAAACTTAGACTGATATATTATATGGATATTTGGGTCGAATTTCATCAGCCATAACGGAATAATCGCATAATCTCCATAAACTGCCAACATGCAACGAACAGTATTTTGATGAGTTGCACGATATATCATTCTTGGAAGTGCAGGTACTAGTTGGAAGCCCATACACGTGTTCGGCCACAGCTGTGTCACGCTGCGGCAGAATGTCGGCGAAATGTGCGTTTGGGTTTGTAGCTAGTATGTCAGGTATGGTATGTCGTACAACCTATGAAATAATACGCCTCTTCCTTCGTTGAAATCCCTGCTTGCCGCTTACTTACCTTCGTTGAGTAAGCGTCTGAATCTGGCTACTGACCTTGGAAATACTTTCAACAGTATGTCCACCAAATCTAACCTGACGATAACGCATTTGAAATTAGGCTCATCCGGCTTACTATATTGATAGCGACTTACGCCATACGGACACGGAGCAAGAAAACGTGGTGACTTTGTTCGGCAGCTTCACGAAAATTGGTGTGTAACAAAATGAAATCATACTGATGCATGGTATGGGGGTTGCGCACCGAGCGCGTTACGGAAATCTCTCTTCGCGTTGTGCCTTAAGGGCTCTCTCTCCAACCCAACCAGCAGCCGCAGAGCAGCGCATGATATAGACAGTGTCCGGATCGGATGCGATCCCTGTTGAGGTCTACAAGCACGGCAGTCCCCAAATCATGGATCATTTGACTGCGCTCTTCCAGGAGATGTGGCGTCAAGGTGAAGTCCCGCAAGATTTCAAAGACGCATTAATCGTGCATCTATACAAGCGAAAAGGAAGCCGCCAACTCTGTGACAATCACCGTGGCATCGCCCTGGTGAACATGGCCGGGAAGATCTTCGCTCGAATCCTCCTCAACCGCCTGCACAATTATCTAGAACAGGGTTTTCTACTAGAAAGACAGTGTGGTTTCCGTCGTCATCGCGGGACCACGGATATGATCTTCGCCAGCTACAGGAGAAGTGCCAGGAGATGCGGACCCACCTGTACTCTACCTTCGTGGACCTGACGAAAGCCTTCGACACGGTGAATTGTGAAGGACTGTGGAAGATCATGCAGAAATTCGGCTGTCCGGAGCGATTCATTCAGATGGTGCGTCAGCTGCACGACGGCACGAGTCACGGACAACGGAGCCGTCTCAGAGGCATTCGCAGTGACCAACGGAGTGAAGCAGGGATGCGTGCTGGCGTCCACCCTATTCAGTCTAATGTTCTCTGCCATGCTGATGGACGCCTATCGTGATGAACGTCCCGGGTTCTGCGTCGCCTATATAACGGACGGTCACCTTCTCACTCAACGGCGGATGCACTTCCAGTCGCGCGTATCGACAACCACCGTACACGAACTTCTCTTCGCCGACGACTGCGCCCTGAACACCATCTCGGAAGAGGACATGCAACCGAGCATGGACTTCTTCTCCGCAGCCTGCGAGAACTTCGGTCTGTTCATTAACACGCAGAAGACGATGGTCATGCATCAACCGCCACCCAACACATTGGTATTACCAAAAAAGACAAGGGATACCGTAACATCAATTTCGTGCTTACTAGCTGTCATCAGCTAGCCAATACCCAGGCCCGATGTATGCGACCGCCGTGGCTCGTACCCGCAGCCTGTTGGTCATAAGTCCAAGGCCCTAACCACTGAGTTACGGGCTGGTTGTCCCGTCGGTTGCGATCGACCATGTTAACATTGGTAGAGCGGCTCGCCACAAGTAGTCATGCCAGTTTTCCTTGTCTTTTTGGTAATGTAGCTTTTTAATTTACTTAGAAATCAACTGCGAAGCTGGGTTAGATCAGTATATTTAAGGTTTATAGGCTTAGACATAAGTTTTTATCAAGTGAATAATTTCAGAAATTAGTCAGTGCAGGACTTGGAGTTAAATCTCCGGGACATGACTTTTTAGGGTCAGAACCGAAATTTCAATGAACATTCGAGTCGAAGACAATCAACTACCGTGGAATAACCACGTAATGCCCATTCTAAAAACAAGTAGTACTAAGAGTAGTATGAGTAAGTGTTTATTTACGAATATTTGGACCGAATGCTATCCGTCACAGCTGATAACCGCGTAGTATTCATTAACTGCCGACAGGCAGCTAGTAGTATACTTTTGGGTAAGGTGATTCCATACTAACAGTACAAGTAATAGCCAAAAGCTCATACACGCGTGTTTCGCCGATATTCTGCCGCTGTATGACACAGTGGCGAGGGGTTCGACTCGTCAATGGGGCCCCATAAACTTAGGTCTGAGCCTATAGACCTTAAATATACTGACCTACTCCATGTCCGCAGTTAGTTTCTGAGGACATTAAAAAGCAACGATTTCTAAGTTAGATTATGTACCAGAAAGCAGACAAGGAATGCTGGGGGACCCACTGATGAGCCGGACCCCTGGCAGCTGTGTCATGCAGCGGCAGAATATCGGCGAAACACGCGTGTATGGGCTTTTGGCTAGTACCTGTGCTGTTAGTATGGTATCACCTTACCCTAAAGTACTGATATTATACTTATATTACGGGCCGCTACGCGGCTGCTGTTGGGGTTCGAGAGAGATTTTCGAGGCACAACGGAACGACCGAGTTCCGTGACGAGATCGGTGCGCCCCCTCTATCATCGCCAATATACACGATCGCAACCGACAGGACAACGAGTCCGTGACTCTATTATTATGGAGTAGGATTTCTAACGAATAGGTCGAGAATCCGAACCTGGAGTGCATACTTCAGGATTGAGTAGGAATAGTTGATGACGGCTAACAAGCCGAAATTTAGGCACTCCACTCTCCGTTGTCAGTAATGTTATATTATTGCATAATTCTACGGCTCCAACGGCGGCCGCCGATTCAAAACCGTGGATAATGTTACTTATCTCGGAAGCGCACTTCCCGACTGAGCAAGAATCGACGATGAGGTTGCCCACCGGATCTTCAAAGCTAGCCAAGACTTCGGTCGGCTGCGGATTCCATATGGGATCACCACGGCCTCCAACTTGAAGATGTACAAGGCCGCTGTCATGACGACTCTTCCCCACGGAATAAAGGCTTGGACCGTCTACTCCAACCATGCCAAGAAACTTGACCACCTCCATCTCAGCTGCCTTCACAGAATACTAAAGCTGAGCTGACAAGACAGGATCCTGGAACAGGCCGGAATCCTCAGCATTCACGCTAGGCTGAGGCGAAAAACGTGTCTGGGTTTTCCGCTTTCAACAGTTTGTCCATCACATTCCTTGCCCTTGGCGTTTGGCTATCTAGCTTAACCATGATGTGTATTGAATTATGCTGATCTTGTTCACTTTACTAGTGGCGGCTAACAGCATAAGGCCGCAGAAAAAGGTAACACGTTTACTTTGTACTTTGTATGTAGAACATTAAATCATGCTAATGTGTGGTAGAGGGACGCGTACCAATCGCATTACGGAACCCACTCGCGGTGGGGCTCTTTCTCGAGTCCCACAGCGGAGCGTAATATAAGCGAATATCCTTACCGAGAAAGACAGGGGAGACAGGAAAGACCAGTTCTGTCTTGTTGGTCGTCATCAGTCAGTCATACCCAACCCCAAGTGTGAATCACTTGAGATTCGAACCTGGGATCTCTGGTCATGGAGTTTGAAGTAAATGAGATGGGGCTCAACAAGAGAAGCTGGAATTTGATGATTTCACCGATGGGGACGTCGTAGGAAAAAAAGTTTTCACAAGATGACATGCCATGAGGCCAGTCGGTGCCTAAAATAATAAAACAACCTTTGTGTTAACAGGTCGATTAAAACGGTTAGCATCGGACATAAAATAAACTTTTAGCTTTTGCTAAATCTGCTTATTAAAACTCTTGCGGTTAAATTACTTTCCTTTCAATGAAAAAGTCGCTTAGATGCGTTACTGGAGTCTAGGACATGTAATAGCATAGGACATCGCACGAATACATTCCAACATCCATTTTCGCCAAAATTTACTGATATTTTACTTGATACAATTATGCAAACACAATTTCTACACAAGAAAAGGACATTTTATTGAACGAAATGGATGAGCGAACAAAATGCTCAACGTTAAAGGCGTCCAGAAATTCTCTCATCAGTTCCCGTTATCACATTTTATGAGATAGGTCACGCACTGTAGGTCAGAATCAAAGAAGGATTTGGGATAGTTCCAATCCCAAGCCAAACTATAGCAAAACCAACCTTTTCTTGCATTAAAGTGCGTCTGAAGTCGTTTAAAGACATACGGAAGAGAGCATCAAGTTGATGTGACTCACAAACCGACCAGCCTATCACTTGCGTAGCCTGTACACCCAAAGGATGGTATTAGCTAGTTGATTAAGAAAAGTGGCGCCTATGAAATCGCCTGCAATGCCCTCGGTACAGCATATTGTCGCCAGACTGTCACGGCTGCCTCCCCGCACATACAGTGCGTGACCGATCTCATGAAATGTGGGCCGAAATTCTGAAATTTCTTTTCGATTAGGAAGGATTACTTAGGTGAGGTTGTAATATTGATTAGCGCGCAGCATAATCCTATAGTATTTCGGACTCACCAGGATGTCGGCTTTTGGATGCATTCCTTTCGGACCTTCCGCATAAACTGCGGTCGGCAAAAAATGACTACATAAGTAGCGTGCATTTTTCGTATTGATTTTCGATGGTCTTGCAAATTCAAATATATTTTATAGAAAACGTTCACAAAATATGCTTTCTTTTACTCGTTCGGTAGAAAATCACGTTGTCTTTATATGTTGTGCCTGAAGAACGTGTATGTTTGGGTTTTAAGCAAGTTTTCCAATTCCTGAATAATTTTGAGCCAGGTCTGCGTTTAGCGATTTCATTTTACAATGTGCATGCTTTCCGCGTAAGGAAAATCATATACTCCTCCGTGCCTTCAAGGAGATACAACATAAAATTCATAAAATTTTGCAATGGATCCGGACTGTGTTGTACATTTGATGAGAAGCCTTGATAAACGTACATGTACGATGTTGTATATATGGACGTCGCACGGTCTTGAAAATCTCATAATTAGAAACTTTTTAAAATACGAAATATATTCTTTCTTCGAGTATAAAATTTGAACACATTGTGATTTTCTAACGACGGAGTAAAAGAAAGCATATTATGTGAACTTTTTATATAAAATATATTTGAATTTGTAAGACCATCGAAAATCATTACGAAAAATTCATGCTACTTATGTAGTCATTTTTTGCAGATCGTGGTTTCTGCAAAAGGTCAGAAAGGAGTGCATCCAAAAGCCGACATCCCATTGAGTCCGAAATGCTATGGTATTTTTCTGCATGCCAATCAATATTACAACTCCATCTAAGTAATCCTTCCTAATCGAAAACACATTTCAGAATTTCGGCCAACATTTCATGAGATCGGTCACGCACTGCATGCGACCCCCGAGGCTTGAGCTGTCGACCTGCTGGTTAGAAGCCCAACATCCTGATCACTGAGCCACAGGTCGGTTGTCCTGTCTATCACGATCGGGTATGACAGGCTAATTAAATGACAGATCTGGCTCAAAATTATTCGGGAATTGGAAAACTTGTTTAAGACCCAAATATACACTTTCTTCAGGTAGAAAATATGAAGACAACGCGATTTTTTACCGAACGAGTAAAAGAAAGCATACGTTGTGCACGTTTTCTATAAGATATATTTGAATTTGTAAGACCATCGAAAATCAGTACGAAAAATGCATTCTCCTTAAGTAGTCATTTTTGCAGATCGTGGTTTCTGCAGGAGGTCCACAAGGAGGGCATACAAAAGCCGACATCCTGTTGAGTCCGAAATGCTAAAGGATTATGCTGCATGCTAATCAATATTACAGCCCCACCTAAGTAATCCTTCCTAATCGAAAAGACATTTCAGAATTTCGGCCAACATTTCATGAAATTGGTCACGCACTGCATGCGACCCCCGAGGCTCGAACTCTCGACCTGCTGGTTAAAAGTCCAACATCCTGACCACTGAGCCACGGGCCCGTTGTCCTGTCTATCACGATCGGGTATGGCAGGCTGACGGCCTCTAATAAGCCAAAAAACATCAGTCTCCCTTATCTTTGCCGATGATGCTATTCTGCCTATGGTGTACGCCTCCGTGCGGCTTCTGGCGTGGCTCAAAAGAACACCAAGGCACAGCGGGATGGGCGAGTCCCGTAACGCGATCAGTGCGCGCCCCTCTACCATGGTTACTATGCCCGATCACAACTGACTTGACACTGATCCCGTGGCTCAGTCATCAGGTCGTTGGACTTCTAACCGACGAGTCGCGAGTTCGAGCCTCGGAGGTTGCATACTCCGGGTGTGGCTAGCGGACGACAGGTAAAAAGCCAGAATTCGCCATTCCAGTCTCTATTGCCTTTGTCGGCAAGGTTCACTACCTGCTTAATTCAGGGCTTGTTAGCAAATACGCTCTCCATAAGTGTACGCGCTACTATAGGACTACATACGCCGATGCTAGTTCTGCTGGAACGGCTCTCACAGACATGAAGAACAGCGTTCAACAACGACTTTGGAATGATGTTTATGAGTTTACGACCTCGAGCGATACAGTGCGTTCTAAGAG